CAACTAAAAGGGGATCATCAATATTCTCGTCTCTGAAGAAATCGTTATAGATAAGGCAATAATCTCTGAAAGGTAAAGCAATAGGACCATGAGAAGGACCTTCGGAGAAAACATCTACAGGAATACCAAAATAATCAGCAATAGTACCGTGCTGCCACTTAACAGTAGCACCGGAAGAATCCTTCGGAGATCCAACCTGAGGAACTTTATATTCTACAGGAGGGATCCAAGCAGAGGAAGTATTTTCACCCATAAATTCTTTCCAGTGTGACCAGGACAACCTATTAGGCACAAAGAAAAAATACACGTCGAGATACATATTGCTGTATACAGGAGCAAGAAGTGTCTGTAAACGTACAATTTTACTGGTACGTAGGGAAACGGTATCGCCGGGCAGGATCTCTTCATCGAGAATCGGTACTAAAGACGAAAAATTAAAGCTCGTAGAATGAGAAAATGAGCGATCAAAAATAGATCGGGGCTGAGAAATGTTAGGAACAGAACTGAAATGTCTTTCTTGATTTCTATTCATAATGAATCACATCCTTCAAAAAATGCAATTATTGCGATGGCAGCTGAGGTTCATGAACCGGATCTGCGACGGCAGCACTGTTATTTTCAGCACTCTTTTGCAAGTTATCCTGCACAGGTTTAGGCATCATAGCTTGCATCCAATCCGGAGTGCCGGCGCTAGAGAACCAAGTCTTAAAATCATTATTAAATTTAGCACGTTGTTCAATTGGAAGAGCATCAAAATAATTTTGGGCAGAAATAAGAGTATCCATAGCAACTCTATGGTCAGGCTGAAGTCCGGAAACATCAGCATAAAAAGTAGGTCGAACATTAAGCACAGAAGCATCACCAGCTGTCAGACGAGCGATAATATAATTCATGTCACAGGTTTCAGCATGGGAATCAATAAGACTCTGAGTATTAATCATACCAGACTGTACAAGATCAAGAGAACCATCGTCACACTTGATACAATCATAAACTGCCTTAATAGGATCACCAGAGCAGGTAATAAAACTATCTGCATCTGCAATCATAGACAAAGTTACACCAGATCTCATACTCTACCTCACTTATACATATCATAGGCTGAAGAACCAGAGATAATAAGCTTAGGGACCGGAAAAGCATTAATAAGACCAGAGTCATTGTCATATGTGGCAATCTGATACAAATCGTAATCAGATCTAGCAAATTGAAAAATGCCTGCCTGAAGACCAAACGCAAAATTACGAATAGCAGTATTATCGTTAGAATCAATCATAAGCTGACCAAAACCATTAATGCGATCACGGATAGAATAAACATTGAAAGTCACAGCCGGACACCTCCTCTCATAGTGGTTACACCCAGATTAATAGACTTTTTAGTCTGACTGGTAGCTCTGAACTTACGCCGATCAGAGCGACGGTTAGTGCGTCTACGCATATTAATTACCTCCTAAATCTCTATGTATCATATCAGTACGCTGCTTATGTAAATCTTCGAGGGTCTGCAGATAGTCAAAATAGTCTTTACCAAGTTGAGCTTTAAGCAAATCTGAATGACCTTTAGCAAGAGTACGTTTATGATTTTTAATTATATCGTACAAATCAGGATCGGTCAAGGCAAGTTTATTGGACACTATGCGAGGGACTTTAATCTTATGATTATCAACACCATCAGACAAATATACAGCAGGGTCAAGTACATCATCAAAAAAATCTGCACCAATACCGGGGCGATTACTCATAAGGTTGAAGGGAGGAAGTCTACCACGATATGACATAGATAAATCACCTGTATACTGTTTCTTAACTACATATCTGCTGACATATGCAAAAGTTTGAAAAGAAGCATCAGCAAAAATAATGTTACCACGACCCCAAATATCATCTAAAAATGTAGAAATAAATAAATCACCATAATCTGTCGACTTGTAAAATCGTAAAAAAGGTATGTCTTCTACAGATAATCCGTAGTAAATAGCGTGATAGTGAGGCCGAAAAGTTCTTTCTCCATATTCACCCGCAAGGTAGAATCGGATCCGGCGATTATTAAGTTTAAAAACATCTTTACGTAGCGAATGATGGAATAATTGAACATCACGCTTATCTAAAGATCTACGCTGCACACCATCAGTACAAGGTACATAAGGAACATGGTCATCATCGTAAGTTATAGTCGCAAATAAAGCAGTCCTAGAAGGATATCCATGAGTATCAGATCTATCTGTAGCATATTCGGCAAGCATACGGTCTGACCAATTTTTAGCAGTGTCAAGTCGACAACCAATACATCGTTGACAAGGTACAGGGACAACTTCATAACCTTCGGAAGTGAACGCATCAATACGTGCTTGACTAAGTTTACCAATAAATCTGGAAGGCTGACCATTAGCAAATATAAAACCGTTAGGATGATAGCAGGACATTATTATCAACTCCTAATAGATAGCTCTAAATCGCTATCCCACCTAGCACATATATTATCAAGGACACTATATGTGCTAGGTGTCGGATAGTGTACTTATCACTTGTATTGACCATCAAGTACGTTGCCAATAACAGTACCGATAGAATTACCGATACGATATCCAACAGTGTTACCACCGACAAGGCCACCAATGGCACCACCCAAATTGCTAAAAATGGAGTACCATTGATGGGCACCTTTACCGGAGGATCCACCGTAAGAAACACCAGATCCAGCAGCCTGAGCTGAATAAACACCACCGGAACCGGACAAACCTTGAACAGCAAGCAATGGGTTAAGTCCAGCAGCTTGTAAATCTTTGACAGCTCTTTGATAACTAGTGTTGCTAAGAGCTTCCTGATAGGCCGTAACGGCGTCCATACCATAATATTTAGCGAGATCTGCCCAGAGGTAATCAGGTATATCCAAAGTCTGTCCGTTACCGACATAAGTAGAGTTAGAAGTAGGGGTAGTAATGGAATTACCAGCAGTATTAGTACCAGTAGTGGCAGTCTGATTGACGGCTTCGGCAGTACCAGTACCGGTAAGCTGTCCAGTAATAGCTTCCCAAGGATGGTCTATAGCATTTGCGTAATCAGGATTATTGTCATACTTATACGATGTAGAATAATTTTCTCTGGCTGATTGAGATACCGGGAAAAGAGGTGCACGGCCTGCTGGAACTTGCATCATCTCATAGGCAGCCTGAGCAGCTGCGTTCGGAAATTGATAATTAGCAGCAGCCAAGGCCGAATTAACTGCAGCAGAAAGAAAAGAATTACCGCTTGAACTAGGTTTACTACTAGACTTAATATTATTACCACCGGTAATACCGGTGTTCATGGCAACAATAGCCATATTAAAACTCCTTTCTAAAGAAACGCAGCGCCGGGCAAAGGCACCGGCGCTGCTGCCCGTTTATAAAGTTATAAAATAAAAAAAAGAAAAAAATAAAAATAAACGGTCAAAGGGGAACGGGGAACGACGGGAGATCAAATCGGAAAGTTATACAGCGGATCAGATCTGATCAAACCAAGAAAAGTAAAATCGCGTCAGTAGGAAGTCCTTACCCACAGAGTTAACCACAGGCTTCGCCTGATGGATAACTCTGATGGATAAGGTGACAAACTACGAGCTGAAGCCTCTTAAACCTCTGTAGGATAGAGAGACTTAAAAGTTTTAAAATCAATACCAGCATCCCAAAGATTGGGAGCGAAACCATGAATATGAGGACAGAAATCAACAGCAATGAGCAAAAAATCATGTCCAATCAAATACGAAATATAATTGGGAAGATCAAGTTCATTAACAGTGATATCATGCAGAGTATTGCGATAAACAAATTCAATACGATACATAAAAACCTCACTAAAAAGCTAAATCTGCAGGGTAACCATCAGGATCAATATAAGGCTCAGGAATAGGAGATTCATAATTCATATCCTCAACCTTAAGAGATAAATGGCAATCTTCAGTATAAATCTCAAGAGAAAAAGGAGTATAATGAGGGTTAGTAAGATACGGGATCAATGAATCAAGTTTATGACAATGATAATGAACAGGATCTAAGTTACGATCAGGAAAATAGGTATAGATAATATCATTATGAGAAGCCATATAATACCTCTTAGAAACGGTTAAGCTGACCGGGAATCGAGTGTACAGGCATCACTCGAGTATGTTTGATATCAAAATAGAAGTCGGCGAAGATCTGATTTTCAAGTGTAGAGGTCACGGCGAGAGCACGGTCAACGTTCGTAGCATCTTCCTTAAGCCAGTCACTTGAAAGAGTGGGAGCAGAAGAGTAATTATCAGCCAAAGTCCAATGACCGAGATTGCTGGAGGCCTTCGGCCTGAGAGATCCGGACACAACATTATGGTTAGTGCGGTAGTGCACCCAAGCTTCATTGTATCCAAAAACCTGATTATAAGGTACACCATTAGCAGAATACAATTCACGTGTATAGATAGGCTGCTCACCAATGCCGGAAAAGATGGGATTATAATAATCAAACTTATTGACTCTAGACCATTTACGATCGAGGCCATCGGCATAGAGATGATCGTATCGAGCGCATGCCAGTCCGATTAAATGTCCGTGCTCGGTAAAAGATCTGCTAAAATCGCCGTGAGAGTCGGCAGTGACAGACTGGGCGCCTACGTCGCCGAGAAAATCCTGTTCACCCTGAGCTGTATTAGTAATCTCTCTAACATTGATAGCAACTCTATTGCCACCTAAATATTCAGGGTGCTGGATACGGGAATCAGGGTTACTAACACCAAAGAGAGTAAGTATCTGTTCTTCGTATCGAGATCCGGATCTAGCGAGTGCCTCATAATATTGCTGGGTAACAACTGCGAGTCTCAGAGCATTAATGTCAATACCCATGGTATACTCAGTCGGAGCATCGGAACCATGAGGGACAGGATTCATAAACCAAAGATTCGCAGGATAAGAATGGTTATTCATAACAGGTTCAGAACTCGAAGAAGCTTGATAAGGTATGCCAACACTAAGAGGAGTATTGGAAGCAGTCTCAGAATGAGAAAACCAAACATTGCGAGTAGTACGTAAATCAGGATCAGATGTCATCATAAGAGGGAAACTCTTAGTAGGATCAGACCACTGTTCACCAACGTAAGTACCGTGCTCACCATGCCAAGGACCGGTAATGATAGGGACAGCACCTGAAATAGGAGCAACGACATTAGGACCTTTTTGAGGGGACGGAAGGCAGCTCGAGAACATGTCGTGAAAACGGGAAACCTTACAAGGCATACCACCGTATTGAACATCGGCAAGACCAGATCCATTAGAGCCTACATGGTCAGCATCACCAACGTCAACTAAAAGGGGATCATCAATATTCTCGTCTCTGAAGAAATCGTTATAGATAAGGCAATAATCTCTGAAAGGTAAAGCAATAGGACCATGAGAAGGACCTTCGGAGAAAACATCTACAGGAATACCAAAATAATCAGCAATAGTACCGTGCTGCCACTTAACAGTAGCACCGGAAGAATCCTTCGGAGATCCAACCTGAGGAACTTTATATTCTACAGGAGGGATCCAAGCAGAGGAAGTATTTTCACCCATAAATTCTTTCCAGTGTGACCAGGACAACCTATTAGGCACAAAGAAAAAATACACGTCGAGATACATATTGCTGTATACAGGAGCAAGAAGTGTCTGTAAACGTACAATTTTACTGGTACGTAGGGAAACGGTATCGCCGGGCAGGATCTCTTCATCGAGAATCGGTACTAAAGACGAAAAATTAAAGCTCGTAGAATGAGAAAATGAGCGATCAAAAATAGATCGGGGCTGAGAAATGTTAGGAACAGAACTGAAATGTCTTTCTTGATTTCTATTCATAATGAATCACATCCTTCAAAAAATGCAATTATTGCGATGGCAGCTGAGGTTCATGAACCGGATCTGCGACGGCAGCACTGTTATTTTCAGCACTCTTTTGCAAGTTATCCTGCACAGGTTTAGGCATCATAGCTTGCATCCAATCCGGAGTGCCGGCGCTAGAGAACCAAGTCTTAAAATCATTATTAAATTTAGCACGTTGTTCAATTGGAAGAGCATCAAAATAATTTTGGGCAGAAATAAGAGTATCCATAGCAACTCTATGGTCAGGCTGAAGTCCGGAAACATCAGCATAAAAAGTAGGTCGAACATTAAGCACAGAAGCATCACCAGCTGTCAGACGAGCGATAATATAATTCATGTCACAGGTTTCAGCATGGGAATCAATAAGACTCTGAGTATTAATCATACCAGACTGTACAAGATCAAGAGAACCATCGTCACACTTGATACAATCATAAACTGCCTTAATAGGATCACCAGAGCAGGTAATAAAACTATCTGCATCTGCAATCATAGACAAAGTTACACCAGATCTCATACTCTACCTCACTTATACATATCATAGGCTGAAGAACCAGAGATAATAAGCTTAGGGACCGGAAAAGCATTAATAAGACCAGAGTCATTGTCATATGTGGCAATCTGATACAAATCGTAATCAGATCTAGCAAATTGAAAAATGCCTGCCTGAAGACCAAACGCAAAATTACGAATAGCAGTATTATCGTTAGAATCAATCATAAGCTGACCAAAACCATTAATGCGATCACGGATAGAATAAACATTGAAAGTCACAGCCGGACACCTCCTCTCATAGTGGTTACACCCAGATTAATAGACTTTTTAGTCTGACTGGTAGCTCTGAACTTACGCCGATCAGAGCGACGGTTAGTGCGTCTACGCATATTAATTACCTCCTAAATCTCTATGTATCATATCAGTACGCTGCTTATGTAAATCTTCGAGGGTCTGCAGATAGTCAAAATAGTCTTTACCAAGTTGAGCTTTAAGCAAATCTGAATGACCTTTAGCAAGAGTACGTTTATGATTTTTAATTATATCGTACAAATCAGGATCGGTCAAGGCAAGTTTATTGGACACTATGCGAGGGACTTTAATCTTATGATTATCAACACCATCAGACAAATATACAGCAGGGTCAAGTACATCATCAAAAAAATCTGCACCAATACCGGGGCGATTACTCATAAGGTTGAAGGGAGGAAGTCTACCACGATATGACATAGATAAATCACCTGTATACTGTTTCTTAACTACATATCTGCTGACATATGCAAAAGTTTGAAAAGAAGCATCAGCAAAAATAATGTTACCACGACCCCAAATATCATCTAAAAATGTAGAAATAAATAAATCACCATAATCTGTCGACTTGTAAAATCGTAAAAAAGGTATGTCTTCTACAGATAATCCGTAGTAAATAGCGTGATAGTGAGGCCGAAAAGTTCTTTCTCCATATTCACCCGCAAGGTAGAATCGGATCCGGCGATTATTAAGTTTAAAAACATCTTTACGTAGCGAATGATGGAATAATTGAACATCACGCTTATCTAAAGATCTACGCTGCACACCATCAGTACAAGGTACATAAGGAACATGGTCATCATCGTAAGTTATAGTCGCAAATAAAGCAGTCCTAGAAGGATATCCATGAGTATCAGATCTATCTGTAGCATATTCGGCAAGCATACGGTCTGACCAATTTTTAGCAGTGTCAAGTCGACAACCAATACATCGTTGACAAGGTACAGGGACAACTTCATAACCTTCGGAAGTGAACGCATCAATACGTGCTTGACTAAGTTTACCAATAAATCTGGAAGGCTGACCATTAGCAAATATAAAACCGTTAGGATGATAGCAGGACATTATTATCAACTCCTAATAGATAGCTCTAAATCGCTATCCCACCTAGCACATATATTATCAAGGACACTATATGTGCTAGGTGTCGGATAGTGTACTTATCACTTGTATTGACCATCAAGTACGTTGCCAATAACAGTACCGATAGAATTACCGATACGATATCCAACAGTGTTACCACCGACAAGGCCACCAATGGCACCACCCAAATTGCTAAAAATGGAGTACCATTGATGGGCACCTTTACCGGAGGATCCACCGTAAGAAACACCAGATCCAGCAGCCTGAGCTGAATAAACACCACCGGAACCGGACAAACCTTGAACAGCAAGCAATGGGTTAAGTCCAGCAGCTTGTAAATCTTTGACAGCTCTTTGATAACTAGTGTTGCTAAGAGCTTCCTGATAGGCCGTAACGGCGTCCATACCATAATATTTAGCGAGATCTGCCCAGAGGTAATCAGGTATATCCAAAGTCTGTCCGTTACCGACATAAGTAGAGTTAGAAGTAGGGGTAGTAATGGAATTACCAGCAGTATTAGTACCAGTAGTGGCAGTCTGATTGACGGCTTCGGCAGTACCAGTACCGGTAAGCTGTCCAGTAATAGCTTCCCAAGGATGGTCTATAGCATTTGCGTAATCAGGATTATTGTCATACTTATACGATGTAGAATAATTTTCTCTGGCTGATTGAGATACCGGGAAAAGAGGTGCACGGCCTGCTGGAACTTGCATCATCTCATAGGCAGCCTGAGCAGCTGCGTTCGGAAATTGATAATTAGCAGCAGCCAAGGCCGAATTAACTGCAGCAGAAAGAAAAGAATTACCGCTTGAACTAGGTTTACTACTAGACTTAATATTATTACCACCGGTAATACCGGTGTTCATGGCAACAATAGCCATATTAAAACTCCTTTCTAAAGAAACGCAGCGCCGGGCAAAGGCACCGGCGCTGCTGCCCGTTTATAAAGTTATAAAATAAAAAAAAGAAAAAAATAAAAATAAACGGTCAAAGGGGAACGGGGAACGACGGGAGATCAAATCGGAAAGTTATACAGCGGATCAGATCTGATCAAACCAAGAAAAGTAAAATCGCGTCAGTAGGAAGTCCTTACCCACAGAGTTAACCACAGGCTTCGCCTGATGGATAACTCTGATGGATAAGGTGACAAACTACGAGCTGAAGCCTCTTAAACCTCTGTAGGATAGAGAGACTTAAAAGTTTTAAAATCAATACCAGCATCCCAAAGATTGGGAGCGAAACCATGAATATGAGGACAGAAATCAACAGCAATGAGCAAAAAATCATGTCCAATCAAATACGAAATATAATTGGGAAGATCAAGTTCATTAACAGTGATATCATGCAGAGTATTGCGATAAACAAATTCAATACGATACATAAAAACCTCACTAAAAAGCTAAATCTGCAGGGTAACCATCAGGATCAATATAAGGCTCAGGAATAGGAGATTCATAATTCATATCCTCAACCTTAAGAGATAAATGGCAATCTTCAGTATAAATCTCAAGAGAAAAAGGAGTATAATGAGGGTTAGTAAGATACGGGATCAATGAATCAAGTTTATGACAATGATAATGAACAGGATCTAAGTTACGATCAGGAAAATAGGTATAGATAATATCATTATGAGAAGCCATATAATACCTCTTAGAAACGGTTAAGCTGACCGGGAATCGAGTGTACAGGCATCACTCGAGTATGTTTGATATCAAAATAGAAGTCGGCGAAGATCTGATTTTCAAGTGTAGAGGTCACGGCGAGAGCACGGTCAACGTTCGTAGCATCTTCCTTAAGCCAGTCACTTGAAAGAGTGGGAGCAGAAGAGTAATTATCAGCCAAAGTCCAATGACCGAGATTGCTGGAGGCCTTCGGCCTGAGAGATCCGGACACAACATTATGGTTAGTGCGGTAGTGCACCCAAGCTTCATTGTATCCAAAAACCTGATTATAAGGTACACCATTAGCAGAATACAATTCACGTGTATAGATAGGCTGCTCACCAATGCCGGAAAAGATGGGATTATAATAATCAAACTTATTGACTCTAGACCATTTACGATCGAGGCCATCGGCATAGAGATGATCGTATCGAGCGCATGCCAGTCCGATTAAATGTCCGTGCTCGGTAAAAGATCTGCTAAAATCGCCGTGAGAGTCGGCAGTGACAGACTGGGCGCCTACGTCGCCGAGAAAATCCTGTTCACCCTGAGCTGTATTAGTAATCTCTCTAACATTGATAGCAACTCTATTGCCACCTAAATATTCAGGGTGCTGGATACGGGAATCAGGGTTACTAACACCAAAGAGAGTAAGTATCTGTTCTTCGTATCGAGATCCGGATCTAGCGAGTGCCTCATAATATTGCTGGGTAACAACTGCGAGTCTCAGAGCATTAATGTCAATACCCATGGTATACTCAGTCGGAGCATCGGAACCATGAGGGACAGGATTCATAAACCAAAGATTCGCAGGATAAGAATGGTTATTCATAACAGGTTCAGAACTCGAAGAAGCTTGATAAGGTATGCCAACACTAAGAGGAGTATTGGAAGCAGTCTCAGAATGAGAAAACCAAACATTGCGAGTAGTACGTAAATCAGGATCAGATGTCATCATAAGAGGGAAACTCTTAGTAGGATCAGACCACTGTTCACCAACGTAAGTACCGTGCTCACCATGCCAAGGACCGGTAATGATAGGGACAGCACCTGAAATAGGAGCAACGACATTAGGACCTTTTTGAGGGGACGGAAGGCAGCTCGAGAACATGTCGTGAAAACGGGAAACCTTACAAGGCATACCACCGTATTGAACATCGGCAAGACCAGATCCATTAGAGCCTACATGGTCAGCATCACCAACGTCAACTAAAAGGGGATCATCAATATTCTCGTCTCTGAAGAAATCGTTATAGATAAGGCAATAATCTCTGAAAGGTAAAGCAATAGGACCATGAGAAGGACCTTCGGAGAAAACATCTACAGGAATACCAAAATAATCAGCAATAGTACCGTGCTGCCACTTAACAGTAGCACCGGAAGAATCCTTCGGAGATCCAACCTGAGGAACTTTATATTCTACAGGAGGGATCCAAGCAGAGGAAGTATTTTCACCCATAAATTCTTTCCAGTGTGACCAGGACAACCTATTAGGCACAAAGAAAAAATACACGTCGAGATACATATTGCTGTATACAGGAGCAAGAAGTGTCTGTAAACGTACAATTTTACTGGTACGTAGGGAAACGGTATCGCCGGGCAGGATCTCTTCATCGAGAATCGGTACTAAAGACGAAAAATTAAAGCTCGTAGAATGAGAAAATGAGCGATCAAAAATAGATCGGGGCTGAGAAATGTTAGGAACAGAACTGAAATGTCTTTCTTGATTTCTATTCATAATGAATCACATCCTTCAAAAAATGCAATTATTGCGATGGCAGCTGAGGTTCATGAACCGGATCTGCGACGGCAGCACTGTTATTTTCAGCACTCTTTTGCAAGTTATCCTGCACAGGTTTAGGCATCATAGCTTGCATCCAATCCGGAGTGCCGGCGCTAGAGAACCAAGTCTTAAAATCATTATTAAATTTAGCACGTTGTTCAATTGGAAGAGCATCAAAATAATTTTGGGCAGAAATAAGAGTATCCATAGCAACTCTATGGTCAGGCTGAAGTCCGGAAACATCAGCATAAAAAGTAGGTCGAACATTAAGCACAGAAGCATCACCAGCTGTCAGACGAGCGATAATATAATTCATGTCACAGGTTTCAGCATGGGAATCAATAAGACTCTGAGTATTAATCATACCAGACTGTACAAGATCAAGAGAACCATCGTCACACTTGATACAATCATAAACTGCCTTAATAGGATCACCAGAGCAGGTAATAAAACTATCTGCATCTGCAATCATAGACAAAGTTACACCAGATCTCATACTCTACCTCACTTATACATATCATAGGCTGAAGAACCAGAGATAATAAGCTTAGGGACCGGAAAAGCATTAATAAGACCAGAGTCATTGTCATATGTGGCAATCTGATACAAATCGTAATCAGATCTAGCAAATTGAAAAATGCCTGCCTGAAGACCAAACGCAAAATTACGAATAGCAGTATTATCGTTAGAATCAATCATAAGCTGACCAAAACCATTAATGCGATCACGGATAGAATAAACATTGAAAGTCACAGCCGGACACCTCCTCTCATAGTGGTTACACCCAGATTAATAGACTTTTTAGTCTGACTGGTAGCTCTGAACTTACGCCGATCAGAGCGACGGTTAGTGCGTCTACGCATATTAATTACCTCCTAAATCTCTATGTATCA